TTTGAAGAAACGAAAAATAATGGCTTAAGAATTTTGAACAAATTTCAAGAACTGCAATGCACTTCCAGTTTTCTATTTATAGAATTCTGAGAAACTGTTTGAAATGCTTCAACTGGGAGAATTTACCAAGGTGCAGAAGTGGATATTTCATGGGAATTTGAATTTGAATATCTGAATAGTTTGCTGCAAATTATCTATTCTTCTCTAGTAATATAGTACCAAAAAATTATTGGAGATGGTGTTCAGTAAACCTCTCAAAATTTTTACCAAAAAAAGTGAAGCGTTTTAAAGAAAATATTCTAGAGAGTCTAAATATTTCGGATTTTGAAAAGCATAAGTTCAAATCGTTTTAAATACAACACTTGAAATATGAGTTACCTCTTCTTTCATTAAAATTGGATGCTGAAAATGCAAAAAGTGGAATAAAAAGATCATTGAGGAATTATTTTTCTTCCTCCAACGACATTAAGTGGTCATTAAAAACTAATGCACTGTAATATCAGTTCTTTTAAAAGCTGAAAGAACTGAACCTTCGATAGTGGCTATTTGACCTGAAATGCAAAATGGTTTTCATGTGAAATTTTTGTAGATTTGTCGTGCATATGCAACGAACAGTTTAGTGATGGCATATAAATGAAGCTAATATATTTGTTCTTAATAATGCTCTAAGCTACACACAAATAAAGATTGTTTTCGAAATGGCGATAAAACAATTCAATAATCGTTGCCGTATCAACACTGAAAGTTGGAAAAACCAAGTCACAGCAATAAAGGACGGGTATAAATGATGATGAAATTAAGTGAAAAAGTCACTGTTTGTCTGTATCCTGATGGCTACTAGTTAAATTTGATACTTGATGAAATAACTGTAAGAAGGGAACGAGGACAGAAAAGCTTGGTCTATTTTGCATATAGGGCACATTTAGGTTCTTATTTCACTATCTTTATAAATACTTTCTAGTGATGTAAATCTTTGTCAGACAAAGTTATTACTAGTTCTTTTATTGAAAGCTTCAAGGGTTTTTGCTGTTTGCTTACTCATCATTAAAAAGAAAAAACTTCAGTTTCAAGAAAATTAGTTATTTTTTTCGTTTATGCTTAACAACATTTATCTGTAACTAAATTCAAGAAGAAGGAGTAAGTGGCAAGATATGGCAATTGAAAGAGATATTATCGTACGCCGACACCAAAAAAAAGTGATTGGAGTTGTCAATAACAAATGAATGAGAGAAGTTAGAAACCACTAGATGCTAATGAAAGTTTTAATAATGCTCTAAGATTGGTAATCATGTTAAAAAAAAAAAAAACAGAATTACATATTATAAATAAGGCCGGCTATAAAGCAAAGATCTTGACAACAGCGACCTTTATCTCTGTTTTAGGGATTTTAGTCAGCTGTGATCATATCGCTAGGTGCAATAACTTTCCTTTGACATGTGATCCTTAGCAAGATTTTGGTCAAATACCAAACCAGTAACATACGGCTTTTGTGGTTTCAAAATGGCGGCAATTCTTGCATCGTTTATGCCATCGCTAAATGAAACTCGAACTACGCTAATGATCTTGCTAGCTTTTATCATATCTTTACTGCATAAAACCATTCTTATAGCACTCAATAAACTATTTTAAGATTTTTGATGAAGATCTATTTTTTATTGTCTTTTAAGATATGTAAATTAAAAAAAATGGTGGGAATGGAGCAAAAAACACTGACGATGAAAAATATTCTTTCTCTTATCACTTTTAATAAGACAATCGAACACACAGAATGATTGGTTTCAGCTGAATAGCAATGACATACATTATCAACATCTTGAAACTTCTTCTTTCTTCTTTACCGATAAACAGTATTTTTATCATATCAAGTAGATTATTAGTATATCTATGAGATGCATTAGTATCTACGAATGATAAAATAGAGTAAGAAAAAAAAAAGCAAAAGAAAAGCATAAACTCTGACCAAACAAAAGTTTGATAAAAGTCTATTAATTTATGAAATAAAAAGCGGAATTCTTTACTAATTGTTTTATGTAATGGCCAAAAATAAACGCATTCGAAGAATTAAAAGGTGGGAAAGTTGATTATTTATATACGTTTTTCAGGTTTATATTGTAACAAATATATTGCTACTATATCTGTATAAATTTGATATGTTAGTATAAACTTTTGTTTCCCAGCAAATAAATTACCAAGTTAGAGTTGTTTTCATTGCAGAATTACTCCGCTCGCTGCTTCTCCATATAAATTAATACAAAATAAATTTGAGTGAACAATCAACCCTTGAGACACAGAACAGATAGAGAAATAACGAATAAGTAAAACTTCATAAATTACAAATATGACTGTTTGAACGCTGAAACTTGTCAGCACTAGTATGAACAAAATTATAAATTTATAAAGGCTCTGAAAAAGAAACGGATCTAGTGCGTCGAGTCCTTTGAAGCCCAGTTAACGCAGTGCTATCAGAGGGAGATGAGTAAGTGTCGCAGCTGGTAGTCTTTTGCAGATGTCTCTTATATCCTTGGAAAGTTATTTCACTGTCAGGACTTGCGGAGGTCTCCACGTTCTTGGTTGCTTCTGTTTGTGTGTCTTCTTCAACCAGTGTTGATAATACTGGTCCCGGAGCTACCAAAGAGCGCCGCGAGTTGTAACTTCTTCGTTTAGAAAGTAGCTCAGAGCCTAGAGAAATGTTGAAATAATTCTATAAAATGATTAATTGCTCAAATTTATAAAGTACTGATTCAAATAGAGTTTGAAACAGAAACTACATAATTTACCTGATGCGTGAAAGTCACCTAACGGGCAGGAAGTGGTTCTGTTAAACACAGCTAAAAAATTTCTGTGAATAAATTCTTGCTGTCAAACTTTTTTTGGGGGATCTGCTCTCTTATAGCTAACTGATAATTGTTGAAGATATAAAAAATAACTTAAAATATAAGGAGTAGAGAAGCAACAAAAACTGGCTTTCAACTTGCTATTTTGGGAAATTAGATGTTTTTAACGAGAGAACTTTTAGATATATTTATCTGAGGAAACTGCTGAAATGTCAAAAAAATACCGTTGAATTCATTGGAGGCTATTGGGGCAACGGTCCCTTCAGAGTGAATACGGGGACGTCGATGACTATAATCGTAGTAGAGTTGTTGAAGCTACTGTTTGTAAATAAACTGGAGCCGAAAAATTTAATAAAAGTTTCAACTTTTCTGGTCTACGTAAAGTGTTTTTCACAATTGTAACAGTTTAATCGATCTTATAATCAGATATAAAAAAATATTAGAAACTTTAATGCATTATACCTGTCAACACAATGTATAGTGTTTCGCTTACGGCTAAGTCTATTAATAATACTTCTCGATTTAAAACTTAGTGCTCTTCTAAGACTGCTTTCTTCCTTATTATTAAGGCTGCAATAAAATGAATAAGGAGCGATTTTCTCACTAATAAAGTCATCTCAAGCTTATCTTTTTACTTTTTTTTTAAATTTTAACTTTAGTTCAGCAATAAAAACAGAAGTATATAACATTAGACTCATTGTTCTATCATGCCTTTAGTTTTTTCAAAATTATAGCTCACTTGGCCATTGCAGCAGAACCGATCAGAGGATGGTCTTCTGTAACACTTGATTCTGGATATAATGGTTCAACGACTCCACTTTCATAAAATTGGTCTTCTTTTACTGGTGGAGCATCTCCACAACATTTGTCAACAATCAGTAAGCTTGTCTAAAAGAACTACGTGGTAAAGCTAACTAACTGTGGTCAAAAAGTCCAAATCTGCGATGAAATGTACCTGTTTAACCATTTTAAATTGTTTTAGTACTTTTTAATAGAATCTCACCGTTAAGTTTTTATTGGCTAAATAATTACACTCAAAATCATCGTCATCTTCTCCAAGTGGATTCAGTAACGCCATTGCGACTTTCATCCAGCCAACAAAGAAAATGAACTGTATCATAGTCACTACAGGTACGAACAAATCAATCTAAACTTCCTCCATTTAGTTGTTTAGAAATTCTGAACAGTTCTCATACTCTTTCTTATGCTATGACTCTTCTCTGATCGGTAAGCTGCTGTTTAATTATTGTTTTTGAAAGAGTCTATTTAACAAAAATAAAATAATAAATATTCTTATTATTTCAACGCCTACGTTACTTTTAATAGGAATATTACGAGTAGTCATGATAAACTGGCGTGTGACCAGGCAAACTGCAAAGTAAAAGTAGACAGCGATCAGTATTACCTGAAAAACTTTAAATTTACATATAAGTTTATGCTTTCAAGCTTTTCCCTTACTAGGTCATATGAAAAGCAAACATTGCGTATATCCGTTACTTACATAGTCGACGTATCAAGATAATTGAATCATAACTATCTCACGAGCTAAGGCAGTGGAACGAATCATTTATAAACCAATATAAAAAAATTCTGTCTTTTTCCTGACAAACTTTTAATAAAGTGTGCTTCAGCTGTTACAGTGTCAAATGAAAAATAAAGTGGAGTTCACTTGCGGATAGACTAATGGGATTGGTACCCAGTCGTAGTTGCATAACATCTGAAGATTATTGCGGAACACTTTAATTTCCTAAAATAAGTAATAATTATATAATTTTCATTCCACCAAATTTAAATACCAGATTAGTTTTCTAACTGTCAACAGATGTAATATTTTAAGACAAGTGATAAAGTTAAATTACAAAGTTACATCCATTAATTTGTTAACTAGAATGTCGCCAGTTATTCGGCCGCTTTTTCTTGCTGTGAACACTAAGGTTGCGGCCCAATTGATAGGCACCCAGTACTTGTTAAAAGCCAAATTGTAATCCTCCATTTTTGCTCTTTCGTGTTCCAAAAGGTAGCCTAGAAACAAAAACAAATTTTAACCAGGATTAGAAGTCAGTTAGATAAAGCGTTTGTCTTCTTCTATTACTTCAGCCACCGTGAAGCTAAAGATTTCTTATAACTAACAGATGTAACAAAGTACATATTTATTAGAGCTTGTTGATCTTGTTACTGATAAAATTTTAAAATAGTTTGGTACAACAGCAGATTTTTTAATACTTGCATAAGAGGATTTTGAGGTTTGAAGCAAAAAAATGCAATTTTATGCCTTACAACCACTGGTGAAAAAGCTTAGTGAGAATTTATTTATAATTGCTTCTCAGACACTTATTGCAGTTAAAGCAAATCAGTCTATGACTTAAGCTCACCAGCTTTAATTAGACTATCCATAGTTGGAAATCGTTTTCTCACACTGAGACTGATGTCTCGGTAGACCAATATTTGTGAAAGGCATAAGTATCGAAGAATTGCTCTTCGGATCATTCGGGTTTCATCGTCGTCACCGTTTATGTAACTGCTTATAAACAAAGCGTTGCTAAAAGTATTCGATGTAATTGCCTGAAAAGCTAAATTATTTTCCAAAAGTTTTTTTTACAGTAATTTTTAGGTATTTTATAAGCTTTTATACGCTAATATCTGAAAACAGAAAAATTTTTGTATTTGTGCAGCAGAAAGAAGTTTCCGAAGTCAAAGTTTAGAAGTGCATATGCATTTGTCGTAAAACTCAAGAACTAGCAACTCTTAGTTGACAGTAGGATATAAAAGTCATTAAGCGAGAGTTTTTGTACTCAAAAAGCAAATTTCGCCTAAAAAAACTTCGCTGATTGAAGGTAAAAATACGACACGGTAGCTTTTCTTAAAAGATTTATGTACGTCAAATGTATCAGTATTACCTCTCAATAAAACCCATATTTTGCAGAATGCTCGTCCAACGAGTTGCAACAGTTGAAACAAAAAAACCAAGAATAAACGTTATGTTTATCTTTTTTAAATATTTCTCGAGATAATTCGCTGTATCTTCGAAAGTTCTAAAAATATACTAATGTTGTTGTTGATCATCAGAACCAATATTTTTCAAATAAAGTGTTGTTTTTATCGTTCGTATCACTATGCCGCAAAAAACTGTACAGAATTATCACTGTTTTGGTAATTAATTCATTATTCCTGCTTTCATATGTTTAACACATCTCTAGGAACAAGAAGCATTATTACACTTTTTGCGATTCGGTAAGGATATATGGAGTGCGGTACATGAACGAAACCATAGAGTAGAGTATCGTCCAAATGAACAATTCCTTAAAAACGCATTTCCAAATGCTTCCTTTCCAACGGAACAGCAAACGGATAAAACCTGTTACAGATGCTGAACAAACGTCATAATTGTAAGAAACTGTCATTGGTACCTAAAATAAGTTTGCAGCAATTAGCTTTTGGCAAATATAGCAATGTTACATGCAGAATTCTAACAACGCTATAGTTCCCCTACATCTTCTCCTGTTGTAGTAGTCGGTCGCAGAGTATGGAATGCTACTTCTCAGAAGCTCCGTTGTTCAGACTAAAAGACAAAAGTAGACAAAATTCATAAATCAGTATAACAAATGAAGACCAGCAGTGAATTTTCAAAACTGCAAATCTTTAATTGATAAGGGTAAAATTAATATATTGTTTTTCGACTTTCTCTGCCAATTTTGGACTATCCGAAAGGTGTACCGTCGTCGTGAAAGCTTAAAACATAGCAAATTTAAGGTCATACAGCCAATAATTGCATTTGTTGCTTGTCAAAAAACCTCAGCTGACTATCTATAATGACCTGCAGAGCTGGTTCAAAAAATGGCTAAATTGCTTTATTCAATCAATTGTACTACATAACAACTGTTCTTCATATTTCTAAATAGCAACAGTCTTGCACTGAATAACCGACAAATACAAGCTGCTAATAAACTATTTTTTTGGGTCATTAAATGTCCAATTTTTATTACACTAGTTTAGTATTTTTTTAGAAAAAAAGAAAAAAAAAGAAAAATTTTTAATTACTTTGCAATTGAACAAATGGTCGATAAAAAGACTTTTCTTTCTTATTTAATGGTGAACAGATGCATTTCTCTTGAATTGCCTATTTATATCCATAACATTTTCGTTTCCAAAAATAACTGTTTTAAATAGCCATAAAATTTTCAGCATTCATTAAACTGTTTTTTTTTGCCGTCCACATACTAGATCCAATTTTTTCCTACCTCTTTTCTGCACCTCTTTTGCGCTACTTCATCAATGACGGCAGCAACAAAGGCAGTAACAACGACAAAAAATTGCTTAAAAGGAACAAAAAAGCTTCTGTAGTGTGTACCATTCATCTGTTGGTGCCAAACCAGACAATGGAAAAAATAATTTTGCCAAGCAGAGAAAAGTGAAAAAAAGCTGCAATAATATAGATTCTATAACAAAATAAATAAAAAAGCGATGTATTAAGCACCATTCAGACGAATTTTTAATATAAAATTATCTACAGAGATTTCTACAAAGTTATCCTCGTTACAAGGCTATTTTTTCGTTCATCATTAACACCTAACGTTGTTTTAAATGACTTGAAAATTTTCTGAAATTCTTCTCAAGGCTTTATCCACGTCATACTTGTTTTTTTTTGTAGGATGTGAAAAAACTTTCCATTTTTACTCTATCATTTAAAAAAATTCTAGTAAAAATTCTAGTTTACACAGTATTATGCCATGACCTTAAGCTAGGCTAAAAATTGCACCTGTAATACCGTATAGATTCTTCGATAGCTGTAAAAGATTAGATTATAATAGGAAAAAATGGTTATGCCTTAATGGTTTATACCTGTCTTTGAGAACACACTATACTTTTTATATTGAGTAGTCAAAAAAATAAGCAATAAATTTTCAAAAAGTATAGACTAGTAACTCTGTCTAGTGCACTAATTTTTAAAACTATTTAGAAACCAGTAGGCAGCAAGTGATTGTAAAAATACAATAGCAGGAGCAGTTCCACTATCAGTCGCCAGTTTTCTGAAATGAATCGATTTTGAAGTTTGGACTTGAAAAAATCACGTTGAATGACTCGCGTTATCTGCATCGGCACAATAAACTCTTAAATATTACTTTACAGAAACTTATGATTAAAACTGACAACAATAAATGACAAAAAAATTTAGTAAAGCGAATACAGTAAATAGTAAGTGTTTTCGCAACGTATTTTCAAAGTTTTAAATGGTTTCATATGTGATAAGAAGATTAGAACATGCTTTCAACTTTCGGAACCAGTACTGGTTTGAGACGACTTTTACAATACACTTATATTTGTGTACTAACTTTCTGTTGGTAAATTTAGAGTTTTGCTGATTTTGAATCTAAAAAAGTAAAAGTGCAAAACAAAAATTGCTTCGAAATCACAAAACATCTCTTTGTCAGTAAACTTCGGTAATATACATTGTCGTAAATTTAAATTAAACATTAAGAATACAAAAAAATCCATTCAGTGGAAAGAACTTTGCTTAACGTTTATGTATTAGTCGTTGCTTCTTAATGTTTCGTCATCTTTCATCTACCACATACTTTACAGGAAAAAAAAGTAAACTTTAAAAAAAATGCTTTGCTTCTTAAGGAATTACGAGGAATTATTGTTTGCGATTGAACTGATAACAATGAATAAATAAACAAATTGTAACCTATATTTGCAACAGTTAAGCAAAGAACAACAAAGATGAAAGGGATCAGAAAATTTCCCTTCAGTACAATCCAAATTTTTATTCAATGAATAGGAACTGCTGCTGTATAAAGCAAAATTTGAGCTGACAAAGTTTTTGACGATGATCAACATAACGACGGTGATGATGCATTTTGGGAATGTAAACTAATGGGAATTGCCAAAGTGTTACCCCATAAAATTCATGATTTTCAGTATGCTTGCTGTTTTTAGATGCTATTTCTTGGTGTTGTTGTCGTCGTCGTTGCCGTTGTTCCTGTTGTTTTTCCTTTCGCTACTGCCGAATTGAGCACATATTTCAGTGGCTTGTTTAAGAATGAAGAATGGAAACGAATATGGTTACAGTTCTTCACAGTTACTTGACTATTTAACTCACGAGTTAAAAAGCGAGAAAAAGAGGAAGAGATCTAAAGCTTTCCTATTTTTTTTCGATATTTTTGTAACTGCATTTATAGTTACGAAATTTTAGTAAGCATTGACGAAGTATAAAGAGCGGCAAAATACCAGCTATCTTTGTTCAGTTACTTTACCGCACTAAATTTTGAAGCACTTTCTTCAAATGTTGCATTAAGATTAAATAGCGAAAAAATCAAATAATTACTTTTTTTTTTTTTTTTTTTTTTACAAATAAGAAATACAGAAAACCAGAAAAGCAGCAATTTTTGTACAAAAATTTTTTAAAATTACAAATCAATAAAGAAATGCAGAAGTTAATTGTTGTTACTGTTCTCTGCAGATTTAGATAAAATATATTTTATTTTATTCTAACTTAACTGCTGTGCTCTCAGTAGCAGTAAATACTCTGAAAAAAGACTACCTAAATGCGTTTTTTTAGATGAATAATGTACAGCTAATCAGTATTCTACAAAAAGTTCTTAGTTAAGCCATAAAACAGTTAAAATTGCTAGTCAAAAAATCAAAAAAATTTCACTGCATTTATTGTAAACTTTTTAGCTCTGTCTGTAAACAGTAAAATACCAAAAAAAGAATAACTTTTTTTTAAAATGTTTTTTTGCGCTCAACTTTTTCAGGCAGCTCATCTTCAACTCAAATAAAAGCTAAACTTTTTCACTGAATACAATGTTAAATATGTTTTTATTATGTTTTTCCCAAATAAACAGATTTTTAGCTCTTTAATTTGTACTTTACACAAAGTAAACTACAACAAAAAACTTTATTTTTTGATTGAAAAAAAGAACCTATTGTCGACAAAACGAAAAAAAAAAAAGAGACAAAATTATAAGTAACAGGTATTTACGTTTAACTATGCAAAATCAATCGTTACATTACCATGACTGCGTAAACCCTTTTCCCAAACCAAGAGAATTTAGTTTCATTCAGTTCAAGTTCATCAGTTACTATAACAGTTTTTAGTATCAAAGAATAGGTTGATAAATACATTGCCTATCTGCTGGGTTATTAAGGAAAGCGGTGGAGTGAAGTTGCAAAACTTTTGGTGTAGAAAGAGTGGTTTCAGTGGGTCAGATCCTGCGGCTAGAACAGTCAGTTATTGTCTATTTTTATATTTTTTTATTTTGTCTGTTCAATAGCAAAGTGTGAAAAAAACAGTTTCTGTTATCAAAAAGGTTTTAATAATAATGTTACAGAAATGAGATTTAACAAATTTTATTAAAATCAAAATCAAGAGTCGCGTCGAATGGTGAATGTCCAAATATTAAAAAACCTTATAGGTTAAAAGAGTAACATCAAATTCATTAAGTTTATTATAAAGTAGTTTCTTCGGGAAACTAGCGGCAACATCTCTGGATAAAAGCACTCTAGATTTTTGCATTTCTACATATTAATAAGCTACTAATAAATTTCAGTTTTATGAGAAAGAAACTGTATTTAAAAGCCACAACCTTTTATCATTAGAGGAATTGTTAGTAAACTTTAAAAAATTGACATAAGAAAAATTAAAATTATGAAGAATTTGAAAAAGAAAAAAACAAAAAATTTTTCTTCTTCACTGTAAACTGTCAGTGTCGATATTCAATAATGAAATCTTCTGTTCATAAGTGAGAGTATAAAATTACGAAAGATGATTAAAAAAAGTGTTTAAAGCAGTAAAAGTAAATATTGACTTTTGAAGATTCTTAGTGAAAGAAAGTAATTTTGCAACAAGTGTTAATTAGAGGAAAGAAACACCGTTTGCAGAAGCTGAAGAATAATTCAAAGCTGCTAGTTCTAACAACTGGAAAAAAAAAAGGAGATAGTTTTCACTCGGTTTTGCAACTGACAATGTTGAGAATATTTTAGAGATTCTAAAAACCATGTTTTTATTTTGATATATAAAAATGCGTTACTCCGTATTCGGTAATATTTGTTCTATGCGAAATAGCTTCAGTAATGAACAATTATTTTTATAATTTTCGGTATAGATAAGAAATCTGAGTAAACTGAGAAAAAGAATGTAAAGCACAAAAAATCAAAAACTTGTAATATTATCAAAAAAATATAAAATAGATATAGATTTACTTTGGAAAAAAAAAAAAAAAAAA